CACTATTTTTGCTTTGTTTTATTTTTCAATTTGTATTAGTTTTTATTGTTGCAATTGTAATTTTTAATAACATTACTATAAAGAAACCATTTTACTACTAAGAACACTTGCATTCTTACTTTGAAGTTCGAGTCTCCTTTTCTTCAAGTACTACTGGTTTATGTTTAGGTTTCTGCTGTTTCCGAAGCATTTCCTCTTCAGCTAAATAAAGATGTTTCAGATGTTCTGGATAATCTTCAGTGTACCCAACATTCTTCTGAGGATTCACATGCCTTTCCTTTTTAAGTAACTTTTTGTAGGCACGTTGCACTTTTTGTTTTCTCCAAATGGCAAAGCCTTGACCTAAAAGTATAGGACAAAAAGATTAATTACTTTTTAAGGTATTTCTTTCATAACATGTACTCACCAATCTGATATTGTGAGCTGAAATTCTGTTACTATACCAATGTGTATCTGGTAGTGATTAACTGGTTACAAAGTTTCCATCTCCACCTTGAGATGGAACAAGACTCAAGGATACATATTGCCATACCCCTTTATCTGTTTAATTCAATGTCAGCTAACAATTAGAACTTTAGCTAAGTCAGCAGTTGCCAAGTTTCTGGTTCTGCAGACTGGCAGCGGCGGGCAAGGGGGAAGAGGGTGGTTTTGCCTGCCACTTGCACAAAAGGAGTTTTGTGCACTTGTCTGCCACTTGTACAGCCCAGTAGTCAACAGGCTGCAGACCGGAAGGGGTTGAGGACTCCTGGCTAAGTTATAAATAAAATCTGCTAGAGTCATATGAAAAAGTAAAGCCCATGTAAAGTTTTTTTCTTTAACATATGATACACAAGTCGTATTTGTCTCTATTCAAATAGGATATAACTGTCTTCCTGTTATTGTCCTTTCCCTCATTAATTTCCTCATGAGTAAAATCTTTTTTTTAATGTAGTGGGGATTATCTATTTTATGTAACCTTGTGGCTCTTGCTCTTTGTTGGGATGCAAAACATCACCGACTCACTGTAATAGGCTAATCTTGTATTAATAAAATGATCTCCCAAATATTGATATTACTTTTTTTGCCACAATAGTAATAATACAGAAATATTTTCTTCCAGGTTACGCGTCCTTAATTTCACAGTCTGGCCCGTTTCTGCTTTCTTTTGAGACCGGTCAAGATCGTCTACCTTTGTTACCTAGCGTGGCATCACGGGAAAAAAGTAAAGAGAGCAAGAGACCATCCTGCAGAGAAACCATAACATCTTTTCCCCTTTGGCTCGCCCAGCGCGGCGAAGTTCATACCCTCCTGGAGGCTTCCCTTGAACTGATGCGTGTCCCATCGCCGGGGCGGCTTCCGACTCAGACCAGCCGGACCTTTTTCTTTTCCTCCTTTTCTATTGAAGCTCGGAGAGTCTCTATTCTTTCCAACCGGCGCCATCATGCAACCTATTCGAGTTTGTCGCACGTTGCCTGTGTCATCAATAGGTGTCACCGTCGTCTCTTCGGCTGCAGGGATATCCGATTGGGAACAACGTAGAAATAAATAGCTTTGCTCGGCACTCGATTCCCTTTGCCTGGGAAGAAAAGTCGCGCACGTTGGGGTGGGAGGAGGCGAAAACCAGGCCCCATCGATGCTGAGCTATCGGTACTCCTT